CTACTCCCATTCTACATGGTTTTCAAGAAAAGTTGATAGCATGAAGTCATTCAAAGGTGACTTTACACTCTGGTAAGATTCTTAAAAATGTGTAAATTTAAATTCATTTGAAATGGCTAGGAAATAGTTTCATGTGTGTGTTAACCATTTTTAAACCTTGTTTGCACTCTAATTTCCACGTAAGCATTCTCTTTCATACTGTGAGCAAAATGCAGTCATTAAATTTAGTTAGCATCACTATTTTTGTTTGTTTGTTGCACATTGAGTCATCTGTCGCTAATAAAACAAGGTTAATTTTGTCTCAAAACGACTGTGCTATTGTTTTATGTATGTATGGCACTGAACAGTTTCTGTAGGTGTTTGTCCCCATTTCTGTTCATAAAGGATTATTTAAAGAACTCTTTCCCTCTTCTTTGGAATCCTTTATACTAGTATAATCTTCATTGCATTTATAGGCCTTCTCTTTCTTCGTGATATCCTTTGGCTTTTAAAATTTCTCACTCTGCTTTAAGTGGTATTTTATTTTAATGGTGAAGTCTACCTCCTGAGAACCAATGCTAGTGTCTTTAGTGACTGTATTCATCCCCGATAAATACTCCAGGTAGGTCGGTCATCCCCATGCCACCAAGTCATATTAATCGACAGTGGCTACTCAAGATTAAGTGTCCAGTCAAAGCTCTGTAGTGTAACCTTTGAAGAAACTAAATTGTCACCAAGGCAATTGCAAAATGCAATCTGTTGCTCTGCCCCATTCATAACAGGACAGTGAGTTCCCAAAATTTAAAAAATCTTGATTCTGTGCCAGCTTTGAGAAACATTTTAGGAAATAAAAATCATATTATTTTTTATTTGAAATCTGCTAAGTACTTGTCACCAATTAAAAATAAGAAAGATCCATTATCTTGCCTCCTTTTAGGTACTTGGTTATTCCTATGGTCTTTTATGGAGTGTCATACCTGTACAGAGATTCTAATATTTGATTATGCTTTTCTTCTATTTTTATATCATTTGAAAATAAGCTAAACTTTTTCTTTGCCATATTCCACTCAAAATTCCCATCCCACAATTTTTGGATGATACTTATCACCATCGATCCACTGATCCCTGTCAGTCTGTCAGACTGCGGTGGTTTGTGTGTTGCTGTGATGATAGATGCTATGTCACTGGGATGGCAGATACCAGCAGGGTCACCCAAAGTGCACAGGTTTCTGCAGAGCTTACAGACTAAGAGCTTGACTACGCTGTCCAGTTCAGAGGCATCAGCCTCTGAAAGCCTAATGAATAGAAGCCGACCATCGTCAGCGATAGTGCCAGAAGACGAGTCCCTCTTGTCAGAACTAGTAATATGACTGAGGAAAGGATGCCTTTTCGAAGTGGAGCAGGTCATAGTCACATGGATGGAGCAATGCCTTGAAACATAAAGCTTCAGGGACCTTCATTTGCTAATGGGCATGACACAAACAGAATAGCTGCAAGCATCGATTAATAATTAGAATTTAGAGTGTATGACATATGAATCTAGGAAAATAGGAAGTCATTAGAAATGAAACAATGCATCAAGTTTGATATTCTATGTGTTACCCAAATGGATTGCTTTGCCCTCTTAGAATAAAAATTATATGGTTTACTATGCACGATTGACGCAATCAAGAGGCACACACTGCACTTATCGGCAAAAGGGACACATCACGATCCATCTTGAAGTACAATACTCTCTGGGATAGAATAATGTCGGTTCACACACAGGGAATCTAATCTAAGCAACGGTTCAGATTTATGCACCACCAACAAAAAGCTAGTGGTGCAGAAATTGAAGAATTTTAGCAAACATGGAATCAAGATGAATTGATCATATTGGGAGTAAAATGAAGCAGGAAGGAGTAGGAGTTGCAATACGTGATCTTGCTGGATATGAAGCTGGAAAGTACATGACAGAATTTTTCAAGACCAATGCTTTCTTCATCACAAATATATATTTTCAACAACACACATGGAACTATACACATAGACTTCTCCAGATAGAATACACAAAAATCAAATTGGCTCTATCTGTGATAAGATATGAAGCATCAAAAGAAGATAGGACTACAGAGTCACTGTACCAAAAAGAACTGGTTGATACTCAACCATTTCATGACGTAGCATATAAGCAAGAACCAATGATACTGAAGGCTGAAGTCCAAGCTGCACTGAAAGCATTAGCCAAAAGCAAGGTTCAAGGTATTGATCGGATACCAACTGAAATGTTCCAGCAAGCTGAAGAAGCGCTGGAAGCTCTCACTAGTTTATGCCAGGACATCTGGAAGCTAGCTACTTAGCCAACTGTCTGGAAGAGATTAATTTGTGTACCCATTCCAAAGAAGGGTGACCCAAAAGAATGCTCAAATAGAACAATATCATTGATATTATATGCAATTAAAATTTTGCTGAAGATCATCTAACAATGGTTTCATTGATAGGGAGCTACCCGAGTGTTCAGGCTGGATTCAAAAGAGGACATGGAATCAGGGGTACCATTGCTGATGTCAGATCTGGGCTGAAAAAAGAAAATACTAGAAAGATATTTACTTGTTTCACTGGCTGTGGTAAGGACCTGACTGTGTGGATGACAGCAAACTATGGATAGTATTGAGAAGAATGGAAATTCCAGAACACTATACTGTGCTCATTTGGGATCCGTACATGGATCAAGATGCATTTGTGAGAAAAGAACAAGGGGATATTGCAACATTAAAAATTAGGAAAAATGTGAGCCAGGGCTGTCTCCTCTTACTAAATCTGTAAGCTGAACAAATGAGATCTAGTCCCAAGAAGTGGGACTAGATGAAAAAGAATGTGGCATCAGGATTGGAGGAAGGCTTATTAGCAATTTGCGATATACAGTTGATACAACCTTGAATGCTGAAAGAGAGGATGACTTGAAGCACTTGTTACTGAACATCGAGGTTTGCAGTGTTCATTATGGATTTCAACTCAATATAAAGAAAACCAAAATCCGCACAAATGGACCAGTAGGTAACAAACATCACGATGAATGTCAATGAGAATGAAGTTGTTAAGGATTTCATCTTGTTTGGATCCAAAATGAATGCCCAAGGTAGCAGAAGTCAGGAGATTAAAGGATCTATTGCATTGGGTAAATCTGCTGCCCCAGACCTCTTTCAAGTGTTGCAAAGCCAGGTGGTTATTTTGAGGACTACAGTACATCTGACTCAAGCCATGGTATTTTCAATTGCCTCATACACACGTGAAAGTTAAACATTGCATAAATAAGGCCAAAGAAAAAGAGATGCATTTGAACTATGGGGTTGGTAAAGAATACTGAAGGTACCGTGGACTGCCAAAATAATAAACAAATAAATGTCTTGGAACAAGTACCACCAGAATTCTCCTTGAAATCAAGGATGACAAGATACCTCATATACTTTGGATATGTTATCATGAGCAACTAGTCCGTGAACAAAGGCTCCATACAAGATGGATTGACACAATGGTGGCAACAACGGTCTCAAACATAAGAACAATATTGAGGAGGGCCCAGGACTGGACCGGGTTTCTTTCTTTGCACATAGGATCACTTGGAATCAGAACTGATCAGGAATTGAGATACTCACTTACCACCATATGGACAGCCATCCATTCTCTTTTATGATATACATTCTCTTTAGCAAATATTATATATTGTATCTCTCAACTTTCTCTCATCTGTGAGGAGGAGTGAGAATATTGATCTCACAAGACTGTTGCTAACACTAAATGAGATGCAATTGGCAGAGATTTCATCTGACTGTCCCTGGAACACAATGGCCCTCGCTAATCATGGCTCCAATCACTGTGACGCTAAAGGGCAGGGAGGCATCCCCCAGGTAGGAGAGGGGCATCGCTCTGCATATGGTGGGAAGGGAGCAACTACCTCATTCCTCATCAGTTCCTTTTTCTCTGAAGCACACGTGTATGGAAAATGTGTTGTCAGCATCTGTTTTCCTTTCACTGTAGGAATACAAAATAAAATCTTGACTGGAGGGTTATTCAAAAGTATAAGGGAAAATTCTGTGGACTATAAAACATTTTAATATGCTTAAATTTAATTTGTAAAATTAACGATGTTATTCGTCATTATTCATTTTTCTCAATATCGGACAAATTGAGTACAACGCCCCAAATGCCTGGAGATGTTTCAAAAATAAACTTTGCATAAAATACATCTATTTCAAACCTTTTGCTCCCATCATTTAGCCTAAGAAACCCACTGCCATCGAGTCGATTCTGACTCCTAACCCTGGGCAGCTTTTCTGAGATGCTAAATGTTAATAGAGCCCAGAGCAGCATCTTTCTCCTTCAGAGAAACTGGCAGGCTTGACTAGCTGATCCTGATGTTAACAGTCTAACGCTTCTCCACAGAGCTACCAGGGCTCCTGGAGTGAACATGCAGAGATTTTTGAAGAGGAAATAAGAGATTCAAAATGTTACTCTGAGCATAGTTTATTTTTCATTATTAAATACCATTTGATATGTTTTCTTATACAAAAAATAAAATTCTTCATTTTAGATGATGGATATTCTTACAATTATAAAATTATCTTGAGATAGATGAATATATGTATGAAATTAAGGTAACTGTATTTTACAGAAACTTAACAACATAATTTGGGTAAAGAATCTTCTAAGTGTGGTTTTCAACCTGAACTGATCAGAAAATTTATCACTTCCTTCCTACGAAAATATAACAATTGTCACATTAATTAAAGGCTGAGTCAATAACTGATACTTTTCACAGATCGTGTATAATCTGATGAGTAAAACCAAATGTGCATTCATTCATCCATTCACTCACCAGGCACCTGGTACAAAGGGTTATTATATATCCCATTTGACTTTTTTCCTTTGTAATATTAATGCTCTGCCTGAATGTTATCTGCTACCATCTTCAAACATGTGAAAACTTATCCCAAAAAGTTCTTTAACCCCCTTCCCCAAACCCACCCAGGACATAAATTTAGTTTGCTCTATTACTTTTTGCAAATGCATAAAATGCATTCTTATATAATGCTTTCATCTCAATATTGGTAATTCAGTTCATATTATATTGGTCACATACAGAACTGACACCAGGATGATTGTGTAGGTAGTGACAGTCTTTGATTTATCCACAAAAGAGCTTTAAAACCTACTAGTTCAAGTGGGCTGACACATTTAAGGCCTCTTTCATTCCATTTAACTGCTGCATCTGGCTGGAGCAAGAATGATGGCAGAGATCTTGACCTTGGAACACTGGCTGGATTAAAGGATTCAAGTGGATGATAGAAGCTGTGGCTGGATTCAAGTGAGGGCTGAACAATGCAGGGATAAATGCAGCAGGGGGCAGGGTCTGAAGTGTTATGTGGGAAGGATGGAAGGGGGAAGCAGTGAGTAAATGCAAAGGGTGCCCCGCTAAGAAGGTGGGGTGCGCCGGGATGATGGCTGAAGTCAAAGGTGCAAAGGTGATGGGAGTGAAATGTGGCTGTGAGAGGGGATGCAGATGAGCAATTGGCAGGTGGCTGTTGTGGGAGTTTAGGGAAGTGGAGACGGCCAAGTGCTGGAGGAATGTATGGTGGATGGTGGTGATGGAAGCGTGCTGGTGCACTGGCACCGATGGGACCATGGGCGCCGGAGCGAAGGCAGCCGGCCCTGTAGCAGGCAAAACTCGAAGATGCTTTGATAGGAGCTGTTTCTGCACGTGCTGTTGGGCTTGTAGCTGAAGGAGTTGATATTTATCTATCTCATCAGGAGAAAATGTTAGGGGCTGTTGAATTAAAGGGGGAGAGATGGATTTATGACATACTTCTAATCCATCTTCTACACTGTCCTGCTTCTGCATAGTTCTGTCATAGTAAGAGTTTGTGTTCTCCTCTACACGGTTCATATGCGTGCTTATGTCCTGTGGTTCTGGATTTATTTGGTCCTCTTCGGTCTCTGTTAAATTCGTAACAGTGGTATATTGATCCGATGGAAAAGCACGAGAGAAACCATTTGGTCCTGGGTCCCAGCTTGGAATCAAAGGCTGGACTTCAGCGATGCAGGGTTGCGATTCTCCTTTTGCTGTGGGACTGATCCTGTTTGGTGACTGAGACTCTGCTAGGACCTGCACTGCACCTTGCGAAAGGTGCTTCTCACCAGCTGCAGGAGAAGGACTTGCCTGTGGCGGTGTGACGTCGGCTTTCGCAGTCCTCCTCAAAAAGGCACCGTCCTTCCGATTTTTCCATTTACTTGCGTTCGGTGGTTTCTCAGACAGGGCCAATGCTGTGCGGCTGCAGCGGGGTGGGTCGCACTGACCCGTGCATTGAATTTGTGAACGGGCTTCTGGTTCATGTTTGCAGCTGGTTGAGGAGACGTCGACATTAGTTCCTTGCTCCTGACCCTTTTTGGCTTGCACCCTTTCTAAGAGGCTTTTGGCTGTTAGGGGGATTCTCTCTCCTGTCACGCCTGACTCGGGCCCACTGGAACAGTTTCTCAAAAGACAGCTGACAGTCCCCGACTTGCAGGGTACGGGTTTTGCCTTTGCCACCTCACAAATGGGGGAGCTGCCCAAAGGCCTTCTGTCCTGTTGGCTTAGACGATGGGTTGGCTCTCTGGAGTAAGAGCCCCATTGACTGCGCTGAAGTCCCTGGCCAGGAGGCACTGATCCTCTGCGTCCGGCACAGGAACTAGGTGCGCTACAATCAGAACGGATGGCTCTCTGGCACGGCAGCCCCGGACATTGACTTTTGTTCAGTGTGTGTCTGGGACCATATCTATGATTTGAGTACGTGTCCCTTTTAAACGATGCCCACAGTTGGCTGTTGCCCTCTGTGCGTGTTTCAGCCTGCAGGGAGTCACTCCGAGCTACCTCTTCAGGTACAGAGAGGCCCGTGTGCTTTCGGCGTTTCGGTTTGTGTCTGTCAGCTGGGCTATGTTCTTTCTTACAAAAGTAGAGCAAGTTACTCCCCTTGAAAAGTCGACTGAGCCCCTCCCCGGGCTCACTGCTGCCTGCTGCTGCACAAGCACTGGCGTCCCAGGAGAAATGATTTCCGTCTTCAAGTTCTGAATGAGCATCACAGGGAATCCGTTTATGCTTTTTTTTAGTCCTAGGTAAACAGGGAGTCAAAGAGAGACCCTCGTTGGCATTATTTAGAACTACCCTTGGGCAACTTTGCCAATGGAACCTGGAAGATTCCTTCGATTCATTATCATTATTCTGAGTCCCGATACGAGAGAGCTCAAGATAAGCAGGCACTTTCGGGTTGTTCATATCCAAATCTCTTGGACTAAAATTATGTATATCCATATTTGGCTCAGCATCTCTGTCGTCTAAATTGTAATTTCTCTGGCAATTTTCCCAATCTGGATTAATTTGAATCATCTTTGGTTTTAGAGACAGATCATCTTCTTGGATCCCTTTTTGTTGGTCTATGCTTAAACCTGAGGACTGGGTCTCCACGTCAGTCTTCTTTGCACAGGATTCCATACTCAGTTTGGTCTTTAGGTCTTCTGGGTCGTGGCCACCCTTTGTGTTCCGAGAAAGCTTAACATCAAAATACAGCGGGTTGCAGCCATACGAGATACAGGGCTGTGTCTTTGTGAACAGCAAGAGCTCGGTTGGCCATTGGAGCGTGGTGTGGCCATCCTTGCTTTGTACATGAAGAAAGGGCAGCGCGTTAGACTGCACATCATGGACACATGCTTCTCTGACAAGCCGTGGCACATTTTTGCTACCTCTTCCTGTGTCATGTGAAGCTGTATCTCTGCTCTCCGTTCTGGGAGGGGGATTCACAGGCACTGTATTGCTCTGTTCACTTGGTCCTGGTGAGGAGAGCTCATCCAGACATTCAAATATCTTGGCATCACTGTGCTTGTAAATGTTTGGGGGGCTGGAGGAAGCATTTGCTTGGCACGGAGAAAGAATGCGGTTTCGTAAAGCATTCGTCAATGTGTTTTGAGTTTCTTTTTCCCGGCTGGGGGGTGAAAAACCCACATCTGAAAGACGAATGTTGGCTTTAGAGAAGGATGCGCGAATGCCAGTGGAATCATGTTTGCCTTGCAATATATTAGAGTTTATAGGGAAGCTGTTATGTGAAACACTTTCCAGAGGCCTTGGTGACATGTTTGTATCTTTTTCCTTAGAGCAGTGTGTTGCCTCATGGGTGTGGGGGCAGCGCTTGCATTTCTCTGCAGCTGGGTGTGTTTTGGGAGTGGACGACTTGTTACAATCATGTGTGTCTTCTGTGTTCTCACTGAAAACCGATGCTGAGGATTCTAATTTTAGATGGACTTTTTTGGAAAAGGAAAAGGATACACTGGTCCTGTGACTACCATTGCTGGGAGCGGGAGACGTCTGTGGAATCTGACTTCCAAACAAGTAGCGCCTGTCTGTTGGTAACGGGTGTCTGTTTGACACGGTGGACCGCTGTCTGTCAGCAATGCTTCTCGGGAGACTTTTCCCTTTAAGCAGAAGAGCACCCTTCATGAACGATGCCTTCCTGCCATTCTTAACGGGGAAAACTCCCTGCAGGAGCTGCTTTTCTATAGTTATCCGGGAAGTTTTGTATGCTGGTCCATTTCCTGAAACACTGTAAATACAACAGATAGTTAAAATATTAAGAACTTCGGTTTGAAATCATAAATGTGTGAACTTTTCCTAGTGTTTCCATGATGGCTTATGCCACTATGTATAAATTATACTACTGCAATCTAAACATTCAATTGAACTTACACAATTCACTCTACCTTCTGTTTCAGAGTTGCTATTTCTAACATGAATCAGTTAAGAGCATCTTTTGAAATGATCAAAAGCTAATAGGCAAATGGCTTATGCTAGGGCACATAAGAAAGTCTAGTTCTGCATACCTATCACCACATATGTAAGCTCACCAGATTTTAACATTGGTAAAGCGGGACACCATTGATAAAACCCGTATCCTGGTGACATAGCCACATGGCAGCCGAAAACCGTATACCCTAGCTTGTCGTGCACTTTTCCCAAAAATCGGGACTTTTAAAAAATGCCGAGGGGCGTGGGAAATTTGTTAAAAATCGGGACTGTCCCATCAAAAGTGGGATGTGTGGTCATCCAGTTCTTTGCAGTAAATATTTCACAGAGAGTTTTACATAAGTACCCCACATCAAATAAGCAATTAATAGAATTAAAAGGTACTTCCAAAGTACAGACATATTTCTTTAAATATTTCTTTAACTTTGGGGGGGGCATGCAGATAATGGGTAAGAGTTCTAGTACTTTAGAATTGCTGGTTCTTCATGTTTGTTTCCTTTTTTTTGGTGGTTTGTTATTTACCTACTTTTAACAAGAATATGAAAGTGCTTCTAAAATCTGAAAAAAAATAGAATGGATATGATAGATGTTTTTCATCAGCTTTTAAAGCTTCCTCAGAAATGACAAAGAAGTAACAAACATCTAGAGGCCTTTTAAATAATTTCAGTGTTTTTAAAAATCTTTTCATTTTGCTTTTTACACACTGAATATTTTCTTTCTACATTTCATTCAAGTAAGTTTTAACTATTTAGCAGTTTTTAAATACTACTCTACCAACCTTTATTAATAACTCAAGAAAACTAGAAATGCCATAGGTAAGAGATCTTTAAATTAAACTTAAAAGGCCCTTTATTGCTTTACATATAACACCTGTACACTAGAGGCTTTATTAGGGAAAATGAAATACCTATTGGATCCTCTATGCAATTGTTTGAGCTGGCTTTCCCTGCATGCTTGATGTTGGTGGCATTTTCTATTTCTGATCTTTTTTCATCGTGACTCTCCATATAGATCATAAGCACAAGACGCTCTGACCCACAAGTCAGAATTGACCCCATGACGACTGGTGTAATGTATTTCCACATGGTCTGAGAAATTCTTTGATGCCTTCACTTAGGACAATTTGGTTCACTGGCATAGAGCTTTAGAGTCACGTTTTTGTCCACCATATTGAATGTACTTTTTAATTGTCTTCAGAGTTTAATATAACAGAGGTACATTTCATTCAAAAACCTAAAACTCACTGCCACTGATTCAAAACAATCCCGCTGTAGGTGTCAGAGACTGTTGGGGTCCGACACTGTGACTCTTTAAGGGAGAAGAAAGCCTCATTCTCTCCCCTTGAGCCGCTGGTGGTTCTAAACTGGTTAGTAGGCAGACGCGCCCCCATTCCATCTTCTATGCCTTTGATTAGCTGCTTTTGACTGAGGTGGAGGTCTTCTGGTATACAGTGAACCCTCGTTTATCGCGGTTAATTGGTTCTAGACCCTACCGTGATAAATGAAATTCCGCGAAGTAGGATTCCTTATTTGTAAATCAAATATTTTCGTAGTTAGAGCATAGAGGACATGAAAAAACACCCTTTAGTCACCATTATACTCATATTACCCAATTTATTAAACGAAAAAGGGAAAATACAGCAAAACATTTTGGACGTTACAATTATCATTTATTACATTATTTATGGCATCAAGCATGTATAGTATGAGCCAATCAGTGGCAGTAATGACAGAGCATGCGCTGTTACGCAAAAACCGCGATAGAGTGAAGCCGCGGAAGTTGAAGCGTGTTTGAAGCGCGAAGTGGCGAGGGTTCACTGTATCTCTGTGCTCCAGTGTCTTTCGTCTTCTCTCCAGATCAGAGTAGTTCATTTATTTAACTCTCTATTTTACTTAGTTCGAATAGACCCAATCTGTTTACTCTGCCCTTAAGAACTTTATAATATTTTTTATTGCCATTTAATCTTAAAGATTATTTCCTCTTCAGGAACTAAATGCTGTAGCCTTTGGATAAGAATCTTTAGAATATTAAATATGTGAATTTCCTAAAGTTGCATTCTCTTCTTAAAGTTAATTCTGATTCTTGACATTAATTTCTCTATTTTTAAACCATCCTTCCATGTTCTTTAGAGATGGCTTTATAGGAATAGTCAATATAGGGCATATATTAGGAGGAACACTCGAAGCATAAAGAAACATAGGAGTGTAATAGTTTATTACAATGCCACTGGCCATTCAGAACTTCTGTAAATCTAAAAGTGAGGTCCCTAGAAGCTGCAGCATTGAATTTGCCTCAATTCCAAACAGACCCTTTGTATAGTTGTAGCCATTCCTGGGTCTAAGCAGGAGGCATACCTCTGTGTAATGGGTAATATTTTTCAGGAATTTAGTCATTCTAGTTTAACCTGTATTAAACTCAGTTGAAATTGTCTGGGACGTCTAGTACATGATCATTGTTATTCCCCCTTCCTGATTCCACTGTGAGTTAAACAGTTTACTGTATTTATAGTCAATTGGCCGTTCATTGGAAATATAGGGATACATGCACCTTGAGGTCATTATTCTTTCATGTTTCAGGGAATATAAGAGAGCTTTCCGTAATGTTCCCTTGAATGTTTTTTTCTGTATTGCTGTTTTATTTTACCCTTTATCTCTCTACTGTGTGAGCTTCTTACTTTTTATATTCTTTTACATTTTTGTAAACCTGTTTTTGTGCCATATTTGGCTTATTTCTTGATTCTTACTTTATATACCAATCTACATCTATTATAGATGTGTTTTCTCACATTTGATATTTTTCATTACATTATAATTTTTAATGTTTATACCTTATATCAGTATTAACGCTTTAATAATGTATTGGCCATTCTAATCACCCTTCAAATAATTTATCTGGGAAAATCAACAATTCTGCAATTTTGTTATTTCCTATAGAAAATATATTAGAAAAACTGCCCTGTATGATTTACCACACAGCTCTGCGGACAGATAGTAATTAAATATCTCCCACATAAGAACTGCTCTTTCTAGGACACAGCTTAGTTTGTACTATCTATTAGTACTTATTAGTCAAAGCTGACTGACCATTATAAGATCCATTACTAGTTATCTGCCCTCATAATTTTTATCAGCTTACTACTAGTAAATTCACCTCTTTTCCCCCTAAAATCATAGGGAAAAAAGACCCACTCTTGTAACGTTGGGTGAACCTACTCCAAACCTTGTCAAAGATTATGGACAAAGAGAAATCCAGGATGGGGGAAAGGCACCCACTACTCTCCTGTGAACAGGATTAGATGGCAGAGAGCAGGTAGTTATGTGAAAATCGGGACTATGCGAAAATGGATGATGCCCACATCTGTTTGCCAGACTTAGTCCACCTGCCACCTCCCCCCATTGTTGTTTTTGGTTGAGTGATCTTAATTCATTCTGTCAGTCACCCTCAAATGCTCATAGTAGCTTTGTCAGGGGCAAGGCATATCTTTCTCTAGAGAGAGGAGGGCCTAGGCGCCATGAGGTGAATGTATGCTGCCCACTGAGTCAATCTGCAGGCCCTGGCCTGAACATCTGTGGGGTCTTTGGATGGCCCTGGCCCCTCCAGGCCCATTTGACCAAGAAAGTTGACAAACCAGAGCTACCTCCAAGGTCAGGACAACCAAATCGAGTCTCCACGCTTAAGTTCCATCAGCTTATATTCCATTAGCTGCTGCTGGTCACTCATCACGGACCTCATTACCGCACAGGTAGCCTGTTCTATGTATGCTCAGGACTGGGCATTGAGGGAGCTTTAAGAGCTAGATAGGTGGGATCCCCTGTACATCTGAGTGCCCCCCATCTCAGGGTTCCATCTTGTACTTAGCTACCACTGCGCAGGGCTGGGAACTTGGGCTAGACCTCAAAGTTCAGCTTTTTTCCCCAGCCCTGAGGGTGGCCTAGTCCCAGACCCCTACAGGTACCCAGGATCGGCTGGCCGCACTCTAGCCCCTCTTCACTTTGCCTGGAACTCTTGGGATTCAGTGAGACTCTGCTCCCTCTCCCTTCCTCAGCATTATGGGTGTCTGTACTAAGTGCACAGAGGGTCCAGCTGTCAGGGACCTTGTTAAGGTACAGAATCATCAGCTAGATCTTTTTACACCTTGAAAATGTTGGATAATGAAATAGTCAACAAATGAGCAGTAGGTGCCCAGGTGATTTATAAATGTTTCAATTGTCACTTGTAAATGACTGTAAAAATAAAATGATATAATGATTGCCTGGTAGGTCATTGAGGAGAGTGAGAGAACGTTTCTATTACCAAATTCAGTATCTGGCAACTGTCATTTTCCAGCGAGGGTGGCTTGGCAAGGGGAGAGTCTGATGGAGGTACAATACACGGACACATCCAAGCTGAACATGCACTATACTTCTCTTCCAATTGCTTCTTGAAAAGAAAACTTCTTTCTTGGAATCAACTTTTAGGACTGATATTTTGTATTAATATAATGGAGCCATTCAGTCCTAAATTTACTGTATACTGTTTTTCATTTAAATAAAAAGGTTTTAAATCCTGACACAGAGCTATAAATTTCACAATTCACCATGTTCCTGTCAACTACATTAATTAGCTATATTAGTGTTCCACATTATAATTCATATGAACATAATTCACAATCTGCAAACTTAATTGAGTTCCAGGTAACAATTGCCTCACTTTGAGAAGCTGAGGAGCTCCTACCTTATGTGAAACTGTTATTTTTCAGCTGCAAGAATGTATTAGGGTAATGCTTGTTATAATTATCAATTTAAATAGCACTGTGTGGTAAATGTAACTACATTAATTACATCTTGTTTGTCATCCAGGCAACACTAATGTCATTTACTTTAGATTCGTGTATGCACAAGGGAATCCACAAAATATTTGTTTTACCCCCCAAAAGAGGCATTGTTACTATGGCTTGTAAAAGTATTATTAGAAAACTGGAAATGACTAAGGAACATCATGTGTCCATTTAAATCAGCTGAATAGGGTATAAGTGTTACTATTTTAGATAAATCCTTAGATCATTTCATTAACGAACACATTAAATTAACATTGGGAAGAAAAATAGTCAGACACAAAACGTAATTAATTTGTAAACCTTTACCTATTAAGAACATTCGCCCTCAGATATATCTGTTGACTAATTATAATTCGTTACAGTGAGTGGAGTCAATTTATCATTGAAATTTCCCCAGAGGCTGAGGAGAATTTTGAACCCCAGCCTACACGTCCACTTCTTACCATTCAGATTGCTGCCTTAATTCAGCCAGTTGATGGAGACGCTTAAGTGCTTTTTCTTGTTTTTTCTCATCTTTCCATGACTTAGAGGCTACATTTCGAGCAAATTCCCGTTGCTTTAATTCTTTTAGTCTCTGTAGGAAAGAAGAAAAACACAAAAGACACTATAAATAACAAGCACATTATTTACATCTGTAAGAACCCTTGTGAAACTTTGACCTGAGTGCAGAGGCAGCATCCTGAATCAGTGGAGTAAAAGCCTCCTCTCCGTTACAAATTTAGGAGATAAATGTTAACTAGTTAGCTGGGTTATTTTAAAAGCTTCTTACAGCCACTGTGGAAGTATGGCATGATGCTGGGACAATACTAACTGCACAATCAATCACCTGTGTGCCTGTAGAAGCCCCATGCAGAGAAGGTACAGTGTATAAATGGGTATGATGGGGCAGGAGACTGTAGGGTGCACTTTTCTGCACCCCCAATTCCATCCTTATCATTTGTAAAATACGCTCACCACCTGAAATATGCTGGTTTATATGAGCTTGTTTTAGTAAAGAGCATACACAATTGTGAAAGATTTAGTTCAAAACTCTACATATGATTCTTAAATCATTATTCTGACAAAGATGTTTTATTTTAATTCATTTTATTGGGGGCTCGTACAATTCTTATCACAATCTATACCTACATCTACTTGTATATTTGTTGCCATCATCATTCTCAAAACATTTGCTTTCTACTTGAGCCTTTGGTATCAGCTCCTCATTCTTTCTCCTCCCTCCCCACCCCACCCCCATGAACCCTTGATAATTTATACATTATTATTATTTTGGCATGTCTTACACTGTCTGATGTCTCCCTTCACTCACTTTTATGTTGTCCATCTCCGAGGGAGGGTGTTATATGTAGATCCTTGTGATTAGTTTCCCCTTTCTACCTCACCGTCCCTCCTCCCTCCCCATATCGCCACTCTCACCACTGGTCCTGAGGGGTTCATCTGTCCTGGATTCCCTGTGTTTCCAGTTCCTATCTGTAGCAGTGTACATCCTCTGGTCTAGCCAAATTTGTAAGGTAGAATTGGGATTATGATAGTGGTGGGGAGGAAGCATTAAAGAACTAGAGGAAAGTTGTGTGCTTCATCATTGCTACCCTGCACCCTGACTGGCTTGTCTCCTTCACATGACCCTTCTGTAAGGGGATCTCACAGACTGGTGTGCTTCTTCACCACATTTGCTTATGCACCTGCTTTGTCTTCAGCAATCTTGTCCAGAAGGAGAGAATCATGGAATGACTTTTAAATAGAACAAAGTGTTCTTGCATTGAGGGAGTACTTGAGTGGAGGCCCAATGTCTGACAAAGATTTTTATCAAATGCGGATTTCTATACTGTGTTCAGATGTATAAAAGTGGGTGAAGGACTTTTGCATAGTTCTGAGGCTTGGCCTTGTTTGATTTTAATTAACTTACCACTTCTCTTAATTACACTTTATCTAACACAATTGACTTACATGCACTGCTCATTACTTGTTTGAGGTTTCTACTTCAGAATCTGTGATTGATCACACCTAGTGATACTGAACAAGTTAAACAGAAGCTAGGATCACAAGAGCATCACAGATTGTGAAATGTACTCCTAAATTGAGAGTGCATTTAATGGCTGGCTTCTCAACCCATATAAAGCCTGGTAAAATTTTCTGAATCTGATATTTTTTTAATTTGTTATTTCTCTAAATATAGTGTAAAAGATATTTTCTAAATACAGTTAAAATTCCAGCTGTCATGGAAAGTAATGATGTGTAACCAGTTATTTCCCACGGGTAGAGCAAGTGCCCAAACCTTTAATGATCTTCAGCTTATTTCATGAAATAAAACATGTTCATGGGAGATGGGAACCAGGTAACTGTAGTTCAGTTGAATAAATAAAGAGGAGCGAGACCAGTCTGATACAGGGAAATATCCTGAGCACAAAGAACATATGTTTTTGTGCTCAGAAGAAAAACAGCCTTAGGCAGGATGAGAGAATCAATCTGAATTTAAATTTTGACACATATAGCAGATTCTTCAAAAAAATAGATAATTTCAAAAACTAAAATGATCCATATGTTCTCAGGAGAGAAAAAGATGACTAGGTCCCTTGAGCAAAAGAGCTGTTAAAGAGGTTCCACTGCTAACAGAAAGGTCAGTGGTTTGAATCCACCAGCACTTTTGCGTGAGGGGGGAAAAAAAGGCAGTCTGCTTCAGTAGGATTAATGGCCTTTAAACTCTATGGAGCAATTCTACTCTGTCCTCTAAGGTTTCAGAGAAATAACTGACAGCCCTGGAAGCTAGTATTATTATTATTTTCAGAATTGTTACATGAGTCTCTGGGCTATGTGGCTAATGTGGTAGATCATCAAAAGTCTGGAGGTTTGAGTCTCTCTAGAACCACCTCAGAAGGAAGAGCCATTGAAATCCCAATGTAGCCTGTTCCACTCTGATGTACCAGGGGTTCACTAAATACACTAGAGTGCAGCTTATTTTTTTTGAGAGCTGATAGGGAGTGGGCTAAGCCTTAACGGACACCCTTGCCAGCAGACAGGAAGAGAAACTTTAAAAATTCATATTCCAAAGGTCAAACAAAAGCGAAAAAGGTAGCCAAAGAGAATGGATGTATATGCATATTTTAGTATAACAGTAATGTGTTAGTATATATATTTAAAATGATTATGGTATGAAACTGTGTACTTAAGGAAGGGGATCTTGGGAAGTTTGTTAAAATTGTTGTTAGATGTGATCAAGTTTCTTGCTTATTTGTAACCAAAGGTTTAGATTGCTTCTGGAAACTCTTTAAAAACCTACAATTTCCAATAGCATATGAAACAAAGAAATGGGTTTCTCTATGTTAACATAGCCTTTTTTCTTTGCAAAAGGAGTTAATTTTATTCTTGGAAAATATGCCATAAAGACAAGTCTTTCCAACAAAACTAATTTCTGAACAAAATAAACTCCTAACAATTTAGAACTTCAAAAAAATTATATAATTCACATTCCAACTTACTTTCCTCAGCTCTCACTTACATAACAGTCAAGTCCTTACTATAAAGCCTTAGTTTATGAATAAAAACCTCTGGAGAATCCATACAAAGTAGAGTTCAACTATGTCAAAGAGAAATGGCTTTTTGTACTCTCAATGACAACTGAACAAATTCTACTCTATATTATGTTTGTTGAATTTGACATTATTATCTTATATGGATAGCTTAATAGTTAATTACTCAGCTGCTAATATAAAGGCTGGTAGTTCAACTCTATCAGAATATATATAGGAGAAAATTGGCTGTCTGCTTCAGTAAAGCTGTATGACCTTGGGAAACCTAAAGGGCAAGGGTAGAATACAAAGAATGAATAACTAAATTACAATGTCAATGATATAAATATACAAATCAAAAGGAAAAGAACACACATTTGTGGGGGGAACCCCAAGCTGCACCTCTATTGCTTATGGAAGTAGTGCATTAAAAGAAAAAGCTGTGAAAAAGATATGGTAGCACAAATCAAAGTAAAGCTGGAGGGACTATATTGCTGTCCAAAAAATTTTATTTTAAAGTAGAATTGTATGACCATGAATAAGAAAGATTATTTCATAATGATAATGTGGTCAATACACCTTGATACTTACTCTTCAATGTTTATCTATCTAGTAACAAGCTTCAGAATGATCAGAGCAAAGAGTGTAAAACTTCCAGGAGAAAAAGAGTTCACTCTGACAAGAGAACATGGAATGCCCCTCCACTAAACAAGCAAATACAAATAGCAAGTACCACAATTTTCAGAAAAGTTACACAAAATTATTCCTGCTAACAGCTGCACCCATGTCACACCTGTGAGAGGAGTGCATGTGGCTAATGTGAAGTGGACTGGGTGCTGGGGACAGGGAGAGGACACACAAGCCCTCCCAGGGCGCCAGCCTCGTGCTTTCGCTTTTCTCTACCGTCTTTCTCAGTGCAGAGAAGACAAGATTAATATTAACAAGGACACATACCATAATTGTCAGTAAACACTTTTATGGGGTGGGGAGCCGCACATTCTTTGAAGAGATAAAGCGCGTCCACTGTTACTGACATCTCCCGGCACAGGTCAGAAATGACTGCTACCTTCTTTCTACACAAGGTCCGCGGGGCAGAACAGACCCTTGGTCCTGCAGTGTCAAGCTGGCAGGGGCTGTTAACAACAAGGTCCTCAATGCGCATGGACCGGCCAACCCACTGAGGACAGGAGGGCACATGAGCGTGTGCAGCGGCATGGTGGCAAAACCAGTCTCCTTGTCGCACACTGGCATGCAATCTTTTTAGAACCTCTAAAGAGAAAGTTAGATGAACAGCCTGACCTGCTGGCACAAATTCCAAACGCACTGCGAGTTGACATTTTCGTCCTTTCGGGAAGTAGAGGGACATCCCGGACGAGTTTCCGAAATAAGACAACCACTCATACACTTGAGATTTTTCCATAGTGCTGTGCTTGTAAGCTGTGTTCAACATCACAGCAGTTTCTCTGGCAGTTTGTCTGATTAGGGAACCAAATTTCAGAGCTTCACGCTCTTCTCTTACATCGGCCATCACAAAAAACGAGGTTACAGTGAAACTGCTTTTATTGAAAAAAAAAAAAAAAAATCGCTGTGACCAAAGAGAACCTTCCCAGGCACCAGGGCTGGGTGCACTGACTCAGAGCCAGTTGCTGGATGCTCACCTAGCGCGGGAAATGTGTACTAGTTAGGATACAACGCCCCCCGCCCTCTCAGCACATTTCTGGGTTTGGGAGGTACCCCCTCATTCAGAGCCCAGAGTATTGAAGCAGCCCCACTCTAACAATGAGGCAGTTCCACATTCAGAAGAGCATCTTTGCAGGTCTCCTGCTGTGCTCAGAATTTTTCCCAGGAGTATTCAGTGAGGAACCATGACAAGAAGCTATGGAAGCGGGGAGAAGCAGCTTCTGATGGACTCTCCTAGCCTTTTCCACAACTGACCTTTATAATAATAAAATTTCAGCTGTTTGCTTCTTACCCCCTTGCTGATGCTTTACAAAAAGATGGAATAGGTCCCATTTCTCCTGGAGTGATTGGCTTGTGACTATTTATATTATAACTTCATGTGTTCTGA